TCACCTCGAAAGGGCTGGTTGTAACAAAATTTCAATATTTTAATACCTCAGGCTGACTCGTATAACAAAATTATTCAACAGAATCAAACAAAACTGACCATATTTGCACTTTATTATGTAAATATATATAGCCGCATTATAATGCAATAATATTTTGATGTTAGGATGGCTTATATTTAAATACATACTGACATATGACAGAAATATTGGACAACAATGACTACAAAATCTATTCCGCTTTAATTTAGAGTGCCAGCATTTCATCTCCCTATTCGTAATATAAAACTGTCACTAAAGTCAGTATCAGTACCTATATTTCCCACTTCTGAATATGGATGGGTACGTCACAGATTCCTGTTGGGCTATTGTGTGATGGGTTGGTCTGCGCATAAATTATTCGTGCTTGCTGAGGTGTGATGATTTAAACTCAGTAGTTCAGGATGGTTTGTATAATAAAACTATTCCACCACATCATCCAACACTGTGACTGACATGACAGATTTCATTTGTACTTTATAATGAAAAGTATGAGAAGTTCTCTTCTAGGAAAAGTATACTGTTAGTATATTATGTCGGTTGGTTGATTTTGTTGGTGGCTAAATATCAAGTGGCAAATATTGCATTCCTGTTCACATATTAAGTATATTTGTTTCGGACGTGCAAGATATCATTTATAATCCGTAAAAACAAATCTAACGAAATAGACGAGATTGTTCATAATTATACAACACCTTATGTGCAATAACACTGTACAATTTTCCTTTGAACATTTTTTGGAATCCAAGACAAACAAAGGTGAATTACGATGAAATATTTATAAGGAGACTGTCAAAAATGGGGAACGAAGCAACGTTAAAAATAATGTTGATAACCCATGATATAAAAATATTGTTCCGATGCGTGGATAACCTTTCTATCCGCCTTCTAGTTTAAAATAAATCCTTTCTTTTATGATAACTGCATGTGATCACAAGTGTGTAAGTTTATAGCCATTGTTTAATGTAAATAAGAATATGAAAAAAAAAAAGATTTTTTGATATGTGTATAATATCTATAACATAGTGTCTTACTGGGAATAAAGAACAATAAGATTATTATTATTGTTTATGTTTACAATCCGAAAAATTAAAATAAAATGAACTTCGGTTTCAACCAATGAAATGTCGTACACCATTCATTCACACCATTCCCGATCACACGTTACACAATCACTACACCATTCCTCATACACCATTCCCCTTACACCATAGCACCATACACCTTCTACTACTGCACCATATACCATACACCATTACACCATACACGTTTTTTTTGGGACGTTTACACCATCGAAGGGCTGTATGGTTGAATGTCATTTTTATGAATTTCAGATTATTATCATATGTAATCAACCATTGTGAATTTATGGGTATTTAAGTTCATCAAAGCTTATATCTTCAAAGGATTATAGTTACATCATATATAGTGTAAAGATGATGCTTTTATATATTCTTTTAGTTTGTTGTAATAAATTGATTGATTGTTGGTTGCTTAACGTCCAGTGGCAAATATTTCATGCATATTCAGGACGAGAACAAATTAACAATAAATACAATAGGTAGGTCCTGTAATGTAGGCCGTCCGGGAAGAAGGTCGGGGAAATTTAGACTGCCACTGGAAAATGAGGGTATGTTGGATAGGGACAGCAATTTTGCCTTGCAACAGGTCACCTACGGACCCCTCAAAGAGTTGTTGCAAGGGTTCTTAACGTGCAGAGAGCGTGGCACTCTCTCTACACGAGGCATCGGATTTAACGTCCCCATTCTGACCGGACGTGGCTGCGTATTTGTACATCCCGCACAGCCAAAAGGACGCCCCACTTTGGCAAGGGTTCTACTGCCGGTCGGAAGAAGACCTGTAGTGACCATATTTCTATTCCCCAGTCACCCTTGGGGATGTTGTAATAAAGAATCAGTACTTGCAGATCCAGTTGTGCAAGTGGAACAACTTGAAAACACAGGTAGATGAAGTAATCAACATGAGATAAGATTTCAATCAAATGTTTGTTACATCAGAAAAAAAGCAATATATGATATCAAATTAAACAATATGAATGAAGGTATGGGGCTCGACTTTTTCTGTCAAAATACAAAGGTGGTAGCATTTGAGTTCTAAGGGTACATAGTTGTTTTAACTGTTTCCGATTAAATGACCATATCTTTACTAATAGTTACCTATAATGACAACAAATTAACTCGATTCTGTTCCACTTATTGAAAACGACTAAAATTATTATAGGAAAAGGTCAACCATTTAGCTCAAACAACAAAAGTATCATATTGTGTTTAATGAATCCAATACTATTACAGTCATTCTCATGTAAAATAATTGTAACGAATCATCTGATATTTTTCTTTGTTTTATCATTTTACTGTTATTCAAAGAAATATGTCTATCAGTGTACTTGGTAAATAAAATAAATACTATAAAATAAACAGACGGAGTTTCACCGATTTGGATAACATGCTTCCAGATGAAGTAAGTTGAGTTGAAGGGCTGCTATAAACTATGCAAAGATGTTTTATGTATGAAAATCGCAGTTATACTCAGATATTTGGATTCCATCTCTTAACATATTGCAATCACTGTTGATTATTTGCTGCATAATGTATAGTTCCCTCATAGTATTAGTTCTGTTAGATGTGTTAGAATGTTTAAAGATGCATCATAATGGCATTAGGTTTCAGATCAATCAAAAACATCATTTTTCATGTTTGCTAAAACACACTGTTACTTTTGTGCATAACAAATTAATAGAATGACAAATTTGTATCAAATGCTCTTGAACTCAATTGATATGTCTATTTCTATTGGAGGTAATAAATGCTTACATTTCCTTGAAATGCAAAGAATATCAGGTATTTTTTTTCTATGTTTTATTTTAAATCAATTATTTTCAGCTATTTATTTGACGTGTTTTTAGACGATTGAAAATTTACAATTAACACTTTTGTCTACTGTTTGAAACCCTGATTCTAAAATGATTTCCTTGAAATATAGAATAAAATTCATAAATCCATCAAGATATCATATAATCATTTATCTTGGTTTCTCCTGTCTACAAAATTTGGGTTTACTTAATGTTTTATAAATTTCATCTTTGTTTATGGTTTAAATAGTTTTTTATTTTTTATTTTTAGAGTAGACCTGTACATTTCCTGTCTTGTGAAGTAATGACATCAATATTTTGTGGTTTAAATCTAGATGACCCTTTTCCGTTGCACTGTTTTCTCCAAGGGGTAAGCATATTACCAATATGTGGTATATTGTCAATTATTTCTCAAATGCATGAGTCATGCACATACTTGCATTTAGTGTAAGCCAATAATGATCTTAATTCTTAGTAATGGATAATTTCTAATCAAATTCTCTGGGTTGTTCTGTCTTCTTCAACCAATACACAAACCAAACATAAAATGAATTGTTACTAATTGTGGATTTTTCTGTGGAACTATTGCCAGGAAGTTTGATTTTCTTACATCACTGGCTATGCCATGTAAACAACTAATACAGGATTACATTGGTGGGTAAAACAATTTTTAAAACTATTTGACTTCGACTTCATAGGATACAGCCTAGTTTGGTTCTTGGTTTAAAGAAAGAAGCTGTAAATTGTCCTCAGTCACATTCAATAATTAATTAGACATGTATGATTATTAAGAGGAATTTTATATTTTGAGCATTGTCCCCACACATGCTTATTTTATCCTGAGCTAATGTATTCCCTTAAATTACTTCTGTGTATTGCAGGTTGATATTGAGGAATATGACATCATAATTGGACCTTTACACGAGGCAGGATGTCATTGGTCTCTAATGGTCATCTTTCCAAACAAATTAGAACTGATTTACCTCAATCCTATGGGTGAATGCAGAGAAATAGTAGACATTTACTTGCAAAAGTGGTTGTAAGTATTACTGTTCATCGAATATACACTGAAAAATCAAAAATAATCATAAATAAAACTATAAATAATCACAATATTTCCATAATCCTTTCTATTGACAAATGAGAAAAGTATAAAAAGAATTCCAGTCAAAATTGCATTTTTTTATTTCATGTTATATAGACAATTTTTGAGTGACAGATACATCAAAGGAATCGGCACCTCTATCAGTGAAGAATGGACCATCACATCAAAACGACATCACAAACAGATGGACTCGAACTCTTGTGGAGTTTTTGTATTAAAGGTATAAATTACTGTTGTCGAATTTTTCCTTTTTACCCAATCTGGCCCTTACTTCAAAAATGTTTATATCAATTACAAAATAAATGTTAACCAGTATGAAAGTAAATGCCAATCAAAGACAATTTGCAGGATTCTTTTACGAAAGCATGGTTACCATATATGATATGACAAATTGTGGAAATATAGTATGATGTATTAAAGTTTAATGTCAAATCCTTTTTCATATCATTCTGTATTGTTCAGTTATATGTTCTGCATTATGATTGTAATAGCTATGACTATGTTATTTACATTGCAAAATAGTATGAGCAGGCAAAATTATTGTCCATTAACCATCACTATATGAAAAAAGCAATTATCAGTTTGCAGAGCTGACACTGAAAGGGGTAGAGGACTTCCGCTTCAACTAAACAAAGAAACAACTAAAGACTTTGCGGATAGATATAGGCCAATACCTAGTTGAATGCAGTGGTAAGGATCAGATAAATTAGTGTTGTCTGCAGTAGATTAATTTTCAAACCTGCATTAATCTCGAAAGGTTAATTTCTTATTTTAGTTTATTGAAGCTAAGTAACTCTAAACTCATTTTCAAAGAAACCTCTTTTGAAACATCAGTTTTTGTACTGTCCATGGCTGTATATGGAAATTAATTTAATTCAATTAAAACAACAAATGTAGTGGGTTAATGACATATATTTATCATTCTTTGATTAATAACGTGTTTTGAGTGTTTGAATTTAGTATCTGTATTATTTTACTGTAGATAACATGCAAGAGGTGGCAATAACACAAGAAGTAGGTCCATCTCAACATAATGATAACGATGATGTGTTAGATGGTCAATATGTAGATGACATACTAGATGATAGAAAGATGTCAGTGGAGTCATGTCAGGTTCATGTATGTAGTTTTTGTCAACAAATTATGTACAATTGACAATATTGCAGATGTTCCTTGTGAAGAAAAATATCAAATGACCAGCCCTTGGTACATAGTATATAATACTATGTTTTATACGGATTGACCCAGTTTACTAGTATATGACATTAGCTTTTTAAAAGATGATAAAATGAAACTTTCCAGCACACCTGACCTAAGGCTCAAGTGCGCAACTGTCGTCACATGGTGCTTATCATTGTCTTTAATCAAAAGAGATAGAGTAAAACTTTCAATTGCAATAATGATCAGCAGAAACAAGTTCTACAAGTGGACTTTCATCTATCTATGGCCTCTTATCGGATTTAATGTCACTAAAAGGGCATCTTTAACATATATTTTGAAAATTATAAGATTGATTGATTGATTGATTGTTGGTTGCTTAACGTCCAGTGGCAAATATTTCATGCATATTCAGGACGAGAACAAGTTAACAATAAATACAATAGGTAGGTTCTGTAATAGGGCTTCCGGGATTAAGGTCGGAGAAATTTAGACTGCCACGGAAAAAGAGGGTATATTGGATAGGGACAGAAATTTAGCCTTGCAACAGGTCACCTACGGACCCCTCAAAGAGTTGTTGCAAGGGTTCTTAACGTGCAAAGAGCGTGGCACTCTCTTTACACGAGGCATCGGATTTAACGTCCCCATTCTGACCGGACGTGGCTGCAAATTTGTACATCCCGCACAGCCAAACGGACGCCCCACTTTAGCAAGGGTTTTACTGCCGGTCGGAGGAAGACCAATGGTGACCATACTTCTATTCCCCAGTCACCCTTGGGGGTGAAAATTATAAGACAAAGAAAATGCAGTCTCGATACCAGGTGAGGAATTTGGGCACCTTAGAAGGCTCTCGTTGTATTTTAAAGAATGTTTTTAAAGATAATTCATATTGGATATAATGTTTGTTTTCAGTACTTGGCTTGTAAAGAAAAACTGTATGAAATAGTTAACTGTCAAGAAACCACTTGGTAAGTTAAAACTTTTATTTCATGACTACAATTATATGTATATAAACCAATTTAGCCAGGGTTGATGCATGATGAAAAAATCCATGGAATTTGTTACATAATTTCATTCAGTTTCAACCACAATTAAAAGTATTCAAAATATATATATACTTTTTCAAGATCATTATTGGAATCATTTTCTCAAATGACATGTAGGTTTATTTCAAGTCTTCTGTGTTTCCAATATCCCAATATATATGTTTACTTCATGAACCTTATTTATCAGTTTTGTTTTCGTCATTTGAGATGACAATGGCAGTCCCAATTGATATTCTTTCTGATGTAGTCAGTATCAAAAACAAAAATGACATTATTCTTTATGTATAAAATTAACATCAATTGTCAACAGCCAGGAGAACGTACATACCAATATTTTTCTTTAAGAGTAATCAATTGTCCTTTTCTTTTAGGTTATACATGTTGCATTTGTAGCAAGCTGTGCTTCATGGAACAGTCTTGGGATTTATGGTAGTGAAATCTTTCAATACATGCACTATTTCTTTTCTTTTAGTGACCTTGCAGACCATGTAAGACACCACGAGTTTATTGCCAATCCACTGAAAGTGCACAACAGGGAAAGAGTGACAGTTGGATTTGGAATGAGTGTGATAAAGCTTAAGGTTTATGAAATTTTACGTTATGAACTATGGTATTCTGTACATTATTTTTATACATTTTGATTGTACACTTACTACAGAAATAGATATAAATGGCAGGATGTTATGATATACATGTATAGAACCATTATGAGTAAAAATTATCAAATAAAGCATACAAACTGACTGCAAGAGAAACTTAAAGTCTTATCTAAATACTCTTAGGTTTACAATTTCATCATGAGAAGTCTTCATTTTGCTCCTTGACTTTCTTTTGCTTAGTATTAACGTTTGATTTATTGCTCTACACATAAAACAAATAAGTATTTAATGTTATACTAATGATTGATTGATGGTTGCTTAACGTCCAGTGGCAAATATTTCATGCATATTCAGGACGAGAACAAGTTCACAATAAATACAATAGGTAGGTTCTGTAATAGATTAAGGGATTAAGGTCGGAGAAATTTAGACTGCCACGGGAAATGAGGGTATATTGGATAGGGACAGAAATTTAGCCTTGCAACAGGTCACCTACGGACCCCTCAAAGAGTTGTTGCAAGGGTTCTTAACGTGCAAAGAGCGTGGCACTCTCTTTTCACGAGGCATCGGATTTAACGTCCCCATTCTGACCTAAGGCTGCAAATTTGTACATCCCGCACAGCCAAACGGACGCCCCACTTTAGCAAGGGTTTTACTGCCGGTCGGAGGAAGACCAATGGTGACCATACTTCTATTCCCCAGTCACCCTTGGGGGTGTAAAACATAACATACTAACCTAATAGAAGTATTTTATAAATCCAGTTTTTGTTACTTTTTTGTTTGTTTTAAGGATTACTTAAATTCACAGATGTTAATTATTCAATAGTTCCTCCATTTGGATTTTGTTTCTTTAAAACAAATTTTGTGTTATCAATTCCTGCATGCCTGAATACCTTGCACAAATATAGTTCATACAGAATTGAAAAATATTTGAGAAATTGCTTATATTGCTTTTCAAATGGGGATATTAAAAAAAGTACCTTCACCATATTGTGTATAGCTTATTATGATTGTCAACATGCCTATCATAACTAAAAGGAAGTATTGAACTTTATTCTCTAATTTTTAACTTCAAAAGTATTGAATGATTATTCTTCAAAAAGGAATTTATAGGTAAAAAAATAATGAAAGAACTTTCTTTCTAGATTGGCTCCTCAATATCTTCTCCATGTACTGGTCAAGGAAATGATAGTGATGCTTTATATTGCCACACATAATTCAAGCTATGACATGACAAATGAATTGTGCCAAGCAACTGAAACGAATATCACAACAGAATGTAGGAAGCTGGAAAAAATAGAAAAAACAACTTTTAAGTGAACAGAAATTTTAAACTGACATTTTACATTACTCAAATTTGGATGTGATCTTTCGAACAAAGGTATTTGTATAGATTAAGCTTCCTGTTCAATGGATAATGATGTAAAGTGTATGGATTATAGTGAATAGCATTTACAGTAATACCAATAGAAAGGAGTATGGTTTATTTGGTTTGGATTATGATGAATAGTTTATGGATTTGGTGTATGGGGTGTGGAGTTTTATATATTGTTTATGGTGTATGGGATGCAGAGTATAATGAATTGTTTATGGAGTATGATGAATAATTGAAGATGTGTGGGGTGTGGAGTATGATGAATAGTTTATGGAGTTTGGAATATGATAAATAAATTATGATGTATGGGGTGTGGAGTATGATAAATAGTTTATGGAGTATGGTGTATGGGAAGTTGAGTATTATGAATAATTTATGGAGTTTGATGAAAAGTTTGTGCTGTATGGGGTGTAGAGTAGGGTGGATAGTTTAAGGAGTATGGTGTATAATGTGTGGAGCGAATGATTGATTGATTGATTGTTGGTTGCTTAACGTCCAGTGGCAAATATTTCATGCATATTCAGGACGAGAACAAATTCACAATAAATACAATAGGTAGGTTCTGTAATATGGGCTTCCGGGATTAAGGTCGGAGAAATTTAGACTGCCACGGGAAATGAGGGTATATTGGATAGGGACAGAAATTTAGCCTTGCAACAGGTCACCTACGGACCCCTCAAAGAGTTGTTGCAAGGGTTCTTAACGTGCAAAGAGCGTGGCACTCTCTTTACACAAGGCATCGGATTTAACGTCCCCATTCTGACCGGACGTGGCTGCAAATTTGTACATCCCGCACAGCCAAACGGACGCCCCACTTAAGCAAGGGTTTTACTGCCGGTCGGAGGAAGACCAATGATGACCATACTTCTATTCCCCAGTCACCCTTGGGGGCTGTGGAGCAAATGAGAAATTTGTTATTTCACTCTACAGAAGTATATAACAAGGTCTGTTTCTGGACTCATTGTAGCCGGTGAGACATATGTCAGTACAGTCTTTAGAAGTATATAATAAGGTCTGTGTCTGACTTCATTGTAGCCGGTGAGACATATGTCAGTACAGTCTTTAGAAGTATATAACAAGGTCTATGTCTGACCTCATTGTAGCTGGTGAGACAAATTTCAGTACAGTCTTAAGAGGTATATAACATAGTCTATATCTGACCTCATTGTAGCCGGTGAGACATATGTCAGGACAGTCTCAAGAAGTATATAACATGGTTTATATCTAACCTATATATCTGACCCCACTTTAGCCAGCTAGACATACAGCAGTTCAGTTTTCAAATGTAAAAAACAAGTGTATATATGACCTCATTGTAGGTAGAGAGACACAAGTCGGTACAGTCTTTATAGAGGTACAAGGTTCATTTCTCACCTCAATTTGGCCGATGATACAAGTACACTCCACCAGCTAATCCTTGGTGTGTTGAATATTGCATTTAGCTACCAACAAAAAAATCATTTTAAATAAGTACCCGTATATTTTGTTAAAGTGAAAGTTCACTTATTTTGTTTTTATTTCTGGCCTGTTGGAACTATTTTTTAAATCATATACAGACCATACATATACAGGATAGGCTTAGTACTTTAGCAATGAGTGGTCGATCCAAATTTCAAAGAAGTCGCTTCAGTTTTAAATTATTATGTTTTTATTAAAATCACGACATTTTATAAACATTGTATCATACAGGAATCACCCTTCCATTTGTCCATTTTTATGATATTGTAACTTTAGTATTTTTCAAAAATAAATGTAGTATGTCTAGTTTATTTCAGATAGGTATAAACTAGAGAGAAAATAAGACGCTGCATAAACACGAGAGTTGAGAGGAATTAACAATTTACTAAATCTGTGTAGGTTAAAATGTATTTCATCTGATTATTCATGGATAGAATTATAACGTTACATAATAAATGTCTGTTCAATTTAATTCTTGATATTGCTTACTATTGTTAGCGTCCAATTGTATTCCTTGTGAGTAATCGTCCGGCATTGTATCGATAAAACCAGCTTTAATTGATAAAGCATCGTCGCATGCCCTCTCCGGCGTCTAAATTCAGAGAACCTTGTGGTACATTTTCGGGGCAGACCTCTGCTGAAGCTGAAGAATTGTTTTTGACAATAAAAAAAACAAAAAATCAACCGGTATCGCCATTTGTACAGTTAGTCTTATAATTATCATTAGTTGCGTGACTGATAAGTTACATTTATGCATTGCATTAGCTATGTTTTAGCCATGGATTTATATCTTCTTTCGTCTTTCCAAAAACGTACGTGTATTTTTGTGCTAAATTCATTCAAATACAGACCATACATGCAACTCAGGATTACTTCAGTACTTAAATGCAAATAGATCGTGCCAAGTTCACAGAAGCCTAACCATGATGTAAAATTCTAACACCTGTAAAACTATTCGTGTAATTTTCGAACGCCGTATATTAATATCTCCAAAATTAATATCATATGAGTATAAAAATGCAAGCAATGTAATGGTTTTAAGTAACTCCAGTTATACCGTGAGACAGCCGAACGGCTAATTTGTATAAGTAACTAAAACGTTACTTGTTGATAGTGTGCGCTTAGTTCACTTGTGTGTGTTTTCATTTCGAAGCCGTGCGTGCGTTCTCAGCAAAATTATTCTAAAATACACGCTGATATGTCTATTAATTCTATGATATTGTTCATTTGTTTAGTAATTAAAAATACATGCACATAATTTACACATATGTAAACCTCATCCTAGCCGGTGGAAAAAAGCCTCAACCAACTGCCTACGTGGAGTATGCACTGCCAATAAACACGGGTGATCGAAAAATAATGTTGTCGCTCTTACTACGAAGAGTTTATATTAACCTTGCGATATCCCTTTGTTGTTTCAAATTTTATGTGCTAAAAATTCTCCACGTTCTACGTATGTAAACATCCCTGGCTTTTAATGCTCAGGTTTT